CCTTTCCATCATTTGCGTTTTGCGTTTGAAGTAAAATTCGTTTAAATAAAATGTAATAACAATTTCGCCTAGATGGCTGCCCTCGGTTATAATAATTAACGGTCGTATTTGATTCTTTCTGTTATCCGGATGAGTTTGGTGTTGGCCTATAATGGCACTGTAGCAGTAAGTACTTTAACTAGAAGACTTTAGTATTAAATAACTAAGAGCCGCTTTCATATTGTAGCCCCTGAAGAAGAAAATAAACATTTTCGAAAGCTTGGTGTAGCACAAAAGCCTTTTATTTGAGCCCTCATCAGGACCGATACCCCAATTAACTAAAATTTGTTATATATATATATATATATATATATATATATATATATATATATATATATATATATATATATATATATATATATATATAGTTGCTTCAATTATTCCTAGTCCTCTTTCTCTTAGTATATTGGTTATGTTCTGATTCCATGTTAATTGTGGTCTTCCTCTATTTCTTCGGCTGAATCTTCTCGCTTCACAAATCAGTTTTGGTGGTCTCTCTTTGTCCATTCTTTTTAGGTGTCCGTACCATCGTAGTTGGCATTTCTCAATATGTTTGAGAACTGGTTGTACCTTCAATCTCTCTCTGATCGAATAATTTCGGATTCTGTCTCTAATTGAGATACCTAGGACCTTTCGTAGGTACTTCATCTGCATGCTTTGAATCATATTTTTTTGCCTTTTGGGTCAGTACCCAGCTTTCACATCCAAATGTTAAAATTGGGATGAATATTGTTTTGTATATTGTTATTTCGGTTTTAGTTGATATTTCGCTCTTTCCTATGAAGCTTGATTTGAAAATGTGAAATAGTCTGAGGCACTCTCGATTCTCGCATTTAGTTCTGTTCGGTGACACCCGTTGCTACTGACCAAAACTAACCAAATACATAGGAATCTAAAATATGAAGCTTTCCTTGGGTTTATTTACAAACTAGAGAAACAAACTTAGCGTTAAGTCAAAAAAAGTATTTTGGCTCGTAGCTTTCGGTGTATAGGCAGTAAATTTAACTAAATATTCAAGAAATACCATGGCCAATAATCGACGTATTGGTTAAAATCTTTATAAATGGTGTTTAAAAGTTGATGATAGCAAATTGACAAAGTTTTAAATCTAAATTAGGACTTTGGTTTTCTAATAACCACAGGAAATAATATATAGACATACAGACAAAAGCATTTTGAAATAATATTAAAAAAATATTTAAGGTTTCTTGTGGAAGGCCACACTTACAAATTGTAATTATCGCTGGAAATAAATGTATGTATTGTATTTATGAGTTGGTTTCTTCAGCCTCCGACAAAATTGAAAGTGAGTCGAATTGAATCACGTCCGCGCGCGACGGCGAGAAGTAAAGAGACACTGCTTAACATGCCTAATGCGAGTGGACGAGAGAATCCTTAAACGTACACGATTAAGACCGTCTTAAATATGTTAATAAATAAACAAATCCAAAACATAAACAATGAATTTTTTTCACGGCGGGTCAACAATTAAACGGTAAAAGGGGACGAATAAACTGTGATTTATGGATTAGAATTTCGGTTTTGACGGGTTACTTTTTATTTGTAAAATCCGCCGTGGAAATTCCTGAGATGGTGGCGTCATGTTCGGCCGATTAAAAATATTATTTATCGTGTAGGTTTTTGAGAACGACTATTCGTGCCGTACAAGAATGCTGACACATCTTTTTTATTGTTACGGAAATTCATTTTAATGTAACTTTTTTATTGCGCTCTTGTGCAATGGTTTTTGGCATAGTGTGAGCACCTCTTTCTAAGATTCTGCAAGCGTCTGACTGTCTCTATTACGGACCCTTGCTCTATTCTCAATGGCTCTGTGATGAAGAGGAAATTGTATGACCAATTATAGGCCCGAAGAGACATTTCTAATAAAATTAAAAAAAAAAAGAAAAATCTTCATTAACATATTTGCGAACCCATATCCCTTCGATCCCAAAACACCTTTACTGGGCTTCTTAACCCGTAATCGGTGACGTTGGACCTTTACATACCCACATGCACGGTGACGTGGAGTCTCACAGACTCTTGTTTTTCGTTTTCTATGATTTTTCAATAGGGATATATTTTTTACGGGTATTGCGTTTAAATACTAACACTCTAGAAAAAAATTCCTGATTTTAATTTCTTTAAATTTGCGCAGTTAATTACCTTTTAACCTATGTAATAAAAAACTAAAACATATGAATTTTAACCCTTAAAATTTAAAATAAAAAATATTATTTATTTTTTGAGGAAGATTCTGTGCACATTAAATGAGAGCAAGACAGGCACACACCTCAATACACATATAAGAAGTCTTCTAATGTAACTTTGAAAGCCACAAATAGCAATAGTTCTGTATTTCCAGGCGGCCAGGAGTATTCTGGTGAATAGGTAGGATGAATTTTATACATGTTCCCACCTCTAGTGGAATACGTGAATTCTGTGCTCTTCTTGACATGTCTGGCTCTGTTAAGCTGTCTGCTAGTTGCTTCATTAAGTCTTTCCCTTCACTTTTTTTATTATCCCTGTAACACTGGTGCACGATGTATGCATTGACTGCTATCATGTCCAGTAATTTATGAAAAACCGCCAGCGTCTCGTTGTGCTAGACGTATAATATATATGGCGAATTTTTCATCGAGAGTATCTGTATCTCCTTTTGTAGAAACTGATTATCTCGGGTTTTTAAAATTAAATTAAAACCACAGCTTGTGTCATATTTTGTGTACACCCATACAATGATGATCCAACTTCTCTGTTTTTCTTTTTGTGGAAGGAATGTGTCGTTTTACATTTTTCAATATTCCTACATAAGTTATTCCATTGTATCTAAGGAACTCCACTAAGGCGAGGCCAAATTCCTATTTGTTCGAAATAATGGTTTACAAAAACTAATTACAGAGTTTTTGATCGTCCATTTTAAGTCAAATTGCATCTGAGTTTTTTGCAGTAAACACATACGTATTGTAAACATTGTTATTTCTTGTATCTGACGTTTATGACATATTTCAGAGGTTTACCGAGTATATACATTCCCAAGCAGTATTTACCTCTAAATCTAAGTAGCATCTCTTCAATCCATACATATTCTCCAACACAAAATTCACTGTGATAGTTTTGAATAAATATATCTTGTACTGGTGCTAGGTGATTTACGGTTTTTTGTTCCAACCTTTTAGCAAAAGCGCGAAAAATGTCTCTGCCTTCACTTGCCGATTTGATCAACATGTTTCATATGAAGTCATTGTGTATTTTTGTATTTGCTTCTCCCACTCTCCCGCCTCACATTGGTACATTTAACTACAATTTATATGAACTCATCTGTAAAAATAGAATTCCATATTGTGTTAGGATATGCAGATTGGCCCAAATTTCTAGCTTGTCCGCGTAGTCCAGGCAAACGAGAAAAACGTTCCTGGCTATTGGTGGTGTCATTGACCACTCATGCGGGCTTTTACCAAACCAATAATTATTTGCAATGTTGTTAGTATTACGTATTAGATCTGCCATAGCCACTACGTCTTCGGGTTCACTTGAACTGAATAGCTCAGATTCTGAACTATGATCGCTTTGTATTTGAAAATCATCTTCAACGTCAACATCTGTTATCGGTAGAAAATTATTTAATTTTAAAGTCCGATAGAGTCTCTTACACTCCACATCACCAGTTAAGATGCATAAAGAGGAGATTCACAAACTTTTCTTGTTACTGCCTAGGTCCATGGCTTAACATAGTTCTTTAACATAAAACTGGAGCATTTGTTTTACGAGTACTTTAGTGGAGTTGGCTAGTGCTATGAGGCTGATTCTTAATTTTAAAAATTTATACGCTAAGTGCAATGATTAAGTGAGTTCTTTATTGAACCGCGCTGCTTTGCTAAAAATTTTCATCGCTGGTCTAAATTTTCTTTTGGTAATCGGACTAAAGTATTGCTCTAAATTTAATAACTGAACTGAGGTGGCTTTCACTTGATGAAAATCCATTTATCAAAATAAATAAGAACTAAAAGTTGAGATTTTCACGAAATTATATATTTTTACATGACAATTGTGACACCGTGTCTTTATCAAATGTAATATTTACGAACTACCTGCTACTATATATACCGAAAATAAAATAAGGTTTTATGGTTATTTTTCAGTATATATAGTAGCAAGTAGTTCATACATGTTACATTTGATAAAGACACGGTGTTGTCGAAACAATTGTCATGCAAAAATATATAATTTCGTCAAAATCTGAACTTTTAGTTCTTATTTATTCTAAATTTAATATACGTTTTTTATAGTCCATTAAATCCCTTACATATTTAGTTACTTACAAAAAAATACGTGGAAGATATTGACAGTGCCTGAAATCACAGCTTAGCGATTGATTACACTTTATCAATTCAATATATGAGAAAATTCCGTTCCCTTTATTATTTCTTCTATAAACTCTCCAATATATCAAATGAAGCGTCTAATTAGAAATTGGCGGCTATTACTGACAATAACGGTTATTCACTTCACACTATTTTGCAGGGGTGCTAATAAATACAAAGTAACCTGGAACATTACGAAATGAAAACCTAGGAAGGCGTAAATTCTAATTCCATCTGCAGAAAGATTATGTCAGGGTTCACGAACGTCGCAGTCCAAAAAGGTACAAGAACACTGATGTGACAGAGATCAATTTACCTTTTGACAGTTGTCTTGTGTCTTCGTTCACTGCTAAAAACATTAATATTTTACAAGAGTCCCCAAAGAACGAAAAAAATGAATGCAAAGTGTCTAAGAGTCTAAAGTCATTTTAGACTCAGCATCGAGATTTCTCAATTTTCTGTATTATCCTCTTAGCTATAAAATGTATATCAGAGATGTAACATTACTCTTGGGAGGCCGTGCTTAAAATACTATATTCTATTGTCGAGAAAAAAAAAACAACGTTTTCATTGATACAAGAAGTTTTATTGAACAACAAAGGTTTCCCACAGTCAGTTCGTCATCACTGATGTATACGAATATGCCAATTTCAGCCTCTGAAATTAACTATGATAAGAATAAATTCAGAAATGTATACCAGTAATATAATAAATTAATGGTGGATAGACCTCACTTCGAGCTAGTGCGTAAGCTCAAATTCTTAACAAAACGTCAAATAAATCAAATCTCTATTACCCACCGACATTGCTGACCGAACTGTCATAGGTCCAAACGAACCTATATCGATACTCAAAGGCTTCTGACATCTCATCAGCATTATCCTGATCAATATTCTAGATTCCCTGTCACATTCGTACCATTTACTTTGGTAAAGTGCAGGTGCTAATTGGAGACTCTAGGATAAATTTTCTTAGAAATCAAAGGTGTCAAAAAACTAAGAACAGACCTGTGTTACGATTTCATCCGACGACCATGCCAAGAGCAACAGTTGACTGATTATTACCGATACGTGAACGACATTGGTTATTACATTCTTACCCTAAATATCAAAAATGTTTATGTTTATTTAAACATGTTTATGTTTATTACCGCAATAACTTGAAGAAGTGCTGTGGCTAGCATTATGGAAGATATGCCATATTCGAGGAACACTACCGTTTTCAAAGTTTGATTTGCGATATTTAAGTATCTGTAAAGAAGAAATTATCGATTAGCAGCAAAAATGATTTTACACCAAATAAAATTTTACAATATCTAGATATACTTCTTTAACCACCATTTATCCCAAATTTATACTAATTTATCACTATAAAATACGATATTTTGGTTCCAATCTAACAATTACTTTAATCTGGTTTAATATAACAAAGAAATTATTGAATGGCACTAAGTTTAGAGGCCCTCGATAATATAATTTTAGTAGAATGGGTTAAAACAATTACGTTCAGCAGCATCGATAAAGCTGAGTTCATATCCATTGTGTACTGTGTGATGGATATCTTATTTATCTTATATCTGGCGCGCCCTCAAGAATTGTTGATAAATCTCCTTTGAGTTATAATACTTAAATATGATGGCAGACAACACACACTTTGCAAATTCTAATCCTAAATTCCATCCATCAATCTAGCTACGGAAATATAAACTCACTTTAGAAATCAATGTAATATTAAAATTTCCGGGAAAATCGATCTTTTCAATGGTAGTTAATTTTAGGTCTTGTGGGCGTTTTGATTTAAAATAAAAATACAGATTTTTTGACTCATTGGAACCCGGAAAACTCAAAAATGTCAGAAATGTTGAAAAATATGTTAAATTTGTTTGCAAAATACTTTTAGTTAAATAGATTTTCATTAGCTGTTCAGTGCTTTTAAAAGTCCAAAAATGCAAAAAATATATAATTTAACAAATCATGGAGTTCAGCAACCTCCGTAAGCATAACGGATTTATTTTCAAATCAAGATGTATAAACGAACTGATACTGACCTTCATTCGCAATAAAACACATATGGGTGAAATTTAGGCTATGATTGTTACTCGCAAATATGCATAGCAAAATTCAATCGGATAACACATCTCACCAAGGCAAATCACATTCGTGTGCTTAGTCTGGCTAATTAACGCACTTACGCAATTAAGTATTGGTGTTTTCCGCACAGGAGCTTTAACGCTGCGAGACTACCATTGCTACCCCCGTCGAAGATATTTCTATGAAAATTGCTAAAATAGTTCTGCAATATTTTTAGCTGTCCTCTCGTATAAATCAAAACGGAGTTAATGAAAGTATGTACCGAAACTATCGATATTGCGAACCATACTAACGTAAGTAATTGCTCGATGAGAACCCAGACGTGGTACTTGTTTTCATCGAAAGGATACCAACATTTAAGCGGCAGAGGTTTTACTAGCGCCTGACTCTCATTTTTGAGGAGTTTGTGAAATTTATAACTATCTACTATTCCTGCAATGTCATGTGGCAGATACTGATTTCGAAACAGAGGTATTGTGACTTACCAATTTCCCATAACAGAGCACCCGAAAGCGCGACCGATATTAGAATAAATCTATTTAGTCGGTTACAAAATAGGACGTGTTTTTCGTAAATGACTTTGGTAAAACTATCTGCGTATTGGTATAACTGGGCCTCTTCTACAATGGCTTCAGTGAGCAGGAACTTAGAATTTTCGGATTGATATGAAAACAGCTTCACTAGCAATAAGATACAATAGAGCGTTTTTGATAATGTCTCGGGAGCTGAAAACTTTTCCTTAATCTAAACTTAAACTTTGCTAGTATCACCTTACCTTCACTTGGGTTATTTTGTAGAAGGTATGGGATATTCAGCGTCATCAACAGAGGAACTGAAATGTAAATTAAATGAACCAGTACCGAATACGTTTTATAAATATCCGTAAAGCGTTTGAATGGGTAAGATAGTTCTAGTTTCCAGATGCCTGTTAAAGTCATCGTAATTCTGGCAAAGCTAAACAGCTCCGAACTAGGCATTATTTTCAGAACAACGAACTCGCTTTGTATTTCTAGTCGTTTTAAAGGAATTCATCCATGGGGAGTAATATAATATAAACGCAGCACATAGGCGTGCTCACTTTTCTATCCTTAAAAATAAATATTTTGCTACTGACAAGCTATCTAAAGAATTGTCTTAAATTATCACCACTTGTAGGACTATGAGTGTTTGTACTAAATGTGATTTTTTCTTAAAAATAAATGACAGTTGTCGATATCAAGATGTTCTTTAAATTGATGTAAGAAAAAGGTAATAAAGAGGCTTCTTAAGCCTTGATTTTGAACATGAATGAATAAATTTTTGCTTTAAAAACCCAGTATAATGAAACATATTTTCCTCATATGTACAAGCATTTACATTTATTTAACGGGGTAAATTGTTTCTTGATAGTTAAGCTGTTTTCATTTTCACGAACTTTGGTTAATCATGAAATATTTGATTTGAATTTCTTCTCCGTAAATATTCATGAACATATATTTGCAGTAAATTTAAAAATCTTATAAAAAAGTTGAGCAATCGCTAGATATCTCATATTTTTGGTTAAATGACGTATTTGTAGCTACAAGCTAAATTAAAACGGAACCGACACAAAAAATAAAATTAATGTCATTGTTGAGAAATTCCCAAGAGCGCGCGCTACTGGTTTCTCAATATTTATTGTCGTACGCCCACTCGTGGAAAACTCCTGCGTAATTACAGAGCAAAGAAATTAATAGTGGAAAGGGTTGAATATACTTTCTTGTAACAACTTGTAATTTTCCGAACCGCTACCCCCACTCTTACGTTACCCCTACATATCTGAGTACCATAACTCCACACCTCATTTACTTTTATTTTTTATTTTACAAACTTAACGCACACACAGTTGGTAACGTTCTTAATTAACAGTAAGTATTTTTTTGAATAACTAGAACCATAACTAGGAGAGTTTTATGAGTTACTAAAAATATTTTTTCTAATTGTGATATTATTTATTCCTATTTTTTAAATGTAGGTCAAATTTAATATTCATCACCAGTTTTTGAAAACTAAAAGAGTTTGGGAATGTGTCACTTCCTCAAATTAAAAAAAAATAATAAGGCTGTTTTGTTTTAAGTAGGCGCTATATTGATGATTTCCATAATTTTGAAGTTGCAACTTTAAGAACATATGAATATTTTTAAAAAAATCATATATTGACTATTTGCTTTTTTTAGTTACTGCCTCCAAATGCTTCTTTGAGAGGTTGAAAAATGTCATGTCCACCACGTCGTGCCTTGTAAGAAATCTGTCAGTAGCACGCGCCCACAATTCCAAAAAAAACGTGGTCCACACAGTAGACAATCGAGTTTTGGCTTTCACGGGGTTTTCTTCCTTCTCCACTCCATATACTTGCGCGCTTTAATTCAGAGGTATTCTTCAAAACGAGTTAAAAGCGATCTAGAAAAGCAAAGTCGCGCGGCTTTTTGATCATTGTTCAACAAATTTTTAATCAAATGGGCTGAGATTTTTCTGGCCTAATAAGTTCAGGAACATATTCAATTAGTCACACTAGTGCAAGACGAGGGGTATGTGTCCGATTCGCAAAACGTTGACGGCCTTGCTTCGCGGAGTTTCACGCTTTCTTCACTTCAGCTATTAAAGACTCGCTTATATTTGATTGACGGTGGAACTATAAATCAAAAATATGATAAAATGTTTTTTGTTTAATTGACCACCCTACATAGTACCCGATATATCTACGTTAAACCGAGGTTTCTTTGCGCCCCCGGTGTAAATTTGCTTCATTGCGAAAAAAAAGTTCATTGTAGTTCCCGACTGAGACGGTGTGTGAATCCCCAACAAAATCAGGCGAGTTTCCAAAGTTGCCTAGCAAGGTCAATCTATGGGTGAAGTCTATAGTAAAAACTCCCAGCAATTTCGAAAAATGCGGCGTCTAGTCCAATTATCGTTTTACTTTTAACAACGAAGTATGAAGTTTGCATTAAATTATGTTTTTATTGTCTTCCATCTAAAGGACTTGTTCTGAAAACGCAAATAGAGATTTGAACCGTTATTATATTTTCCCGCGCAAAATTTAGCAATTTTAAGGTTAGTTTTCCCCGGGATAAAGTAACCTCGAAACATGTTCTTCTAGTTACTTTGCTACATAGTAAACTGACCCAGAAAACATAAGTATTTAAAATACTTATGAGTTTTTTGGTCATTTTTGTAGACACTGATCTTTTAAAATTATAGTGTTATGGCCTCCACTGATGAGATTATTAGAGATTCGGTTCGTGAGTTCACTGATAGGGAGAGAAAGTAGAACAATGATCTTTAATGACCCAAAAACATTCCCTCACTGCGACTGATATTTTGCTTCAGATCTGCTCAGATGTAAACATTAATAATATAAAAGTGTATCGAGTGGGTCGTGTAGCATCGACTTGTATAAAAACATTACAATAAATTTCAATAGAACACCAAAACAGCTTGTAGAATATAAAACAACTCGGATGGACTAAGTGAGAGACTTCGCTAGGGTGAGACAAGCCCTAGGATTAAATATATCAATGCATCGCCGAGAATAGTGACTGTTGGCATTAATTTAAACTAGCAAGCTTGTCTAACAGATCTCTGAGATTCGTCTTCGGGGGAGGGAAGTGCAATGTGTTAATCAAACAATGTGTAGTACGAATCTGGATATTATTGCAATCACGAAGAGTTGGTTGCAGGAGGTGACTCTGAACATTGAGGTCTTTTTTCATAACAGATACACAGTTTTCATATATGAGGGAGACCTTCAAAGTGTTAGTCTTTCGCGTGGGGGGGGGGGGAAATTATGGTATTTATGATTTTGTTATTTACATATCTCCTAGCATAGTTAAAGCTGACTTGGTGATGTGTTTGAGTAATTTGAAAATAACATGTTTTTATGAATTTACTTAGCCTTTATCAACTCAACAGCGTTTTAAATACCCATAACAGACTACTTGATTTAGTTGTGTCCAATATCGAGTGTAGAGTCACAAAAGAGTCCTTGCCACTAGTTGCGGAAGATCCATACCATCTTGCGTTGAATATTAGTATGACTGTCAACTGTCAAAATAGAAGTATTCAAACCAATATACAATAATGCAAATATAATTTCAGGAGAGCAGTTTTACCAAACATTGTATACTATTTTTAACGACTGCGTCCCTTAATCAATTATCCATAAAAGATCATGTCCGTTATGGTTCACATCCGAAATAATTAAAGCAATTAAGCGAAAGCATAGGTTATTCAAAACACGCAAATCCAACAGATCAGAGTCAGTCTTAATCCATTATAAAACAATATGTCGCAAATCACAAAGGATCCGATTTCTTTTTGGTCGTTTATTAGATTTAAGCGTTCAAATACGGAATTGCTAGAGATTTTCACTTACAGGGAGGAGAGTTACACTAGCCCTGAAGAGATTGTTAATGCGTTTGCTAAGTTTTTTGGGGAGTCCTCAGTTGAATGTAATTTCTAATGAATTTATTTCTATTGATCACTTAACTGATAACACAAAGTATCTCGTGGGCCTGACAACGTTCATTATTTGCTTATGCGCACATGCTTTGGTTAAACCCATGTCTCTTATTTTTAACTTAGCCCTAGCATCAAACACTTTCCCAGACGTCTGGAACTAGGCCACAATTACTCCCGCCCTAAAGAAGGGAAAGCATCTGATATGTCCAACTACAGGCCTGTTTTTGCGAGAGAATTGGAGAAGTCGCTGCATGATAGTATTTTCAACCAAATGAAACATTTGGTAACTCACAAACAATGTGGTTTCTTTAAAGAACCTTCAGTAATTTAACTTGCTTCACAGAATTGAATTGAATTGAAGGCTTTGAATGACGGGAGGCGGGTGGATACACGGACTTTTCAAAAGCTTTTGACTTGGTGGAAAACACTGTACTGCTCTCTATCTAAACTGAGGATGCTTGTGGCATTCATGAAGTCATACCTGCATAACAAAATACAGTATGTGCAGCTGCACGGACCCTCATCGTTTAGGTTCATGGCTAGTAACGGCGTTCCCCAGGCTACCAATTTAGCGCCATTGATATTCTTGCTTTTCATTAACGATAGCTCTTTGCTGATGATGTGAAATTGTTTAGAACAATTGATAGTGTGGAGGACTGTGTGTCTGTAAAATGATTTGGAGATTATTGGTTCTTGGTGTGCTTCTAATAATCTACCACTGAATATAAATAAATGTTTCGCAATGATATTTTCAAACAAAACTGATAATATAATTTTCTAATTACTATCTGGATAACGTATTATTAAGAAAATGTGACAATTTTCAAAACGTTTGACATAAAACTCTCCTTCAGAAATCATGTCAATGAAGCTTGTTGAGCATACTTTAAAACTGTTATACTATAGTTATGTGCGCGGAAAATTCCCTCATGGTTGAATAGTAGGAGGTACCTTTCATTTCAGTTTTTATATAAACCTTGCAATTTATCGCTCTGAGTTACTGAGCCAGCTGAACTTTTATGTTCCGTCAAGGACTGCAAAGGCATCACCTGTATTTCACCTAAGAGCTCCAACAACCAATTTTTTGATTAAAGGTCCTCTCTATCTGTTGAAGAAATTATTTAATGATTTCTGTAATGATATTGGCGTTTTTTGTCTTAGTCGCTCACAGTTTACCATATTAATTAAACGTAAATTTGAAATACTATATTGATCTGGACGCTTCGTTGAGAATGTTAAGTGTTCGCGAGCAGTAGTAGATGAGACTATGTTTCTTCTTTCTTCTTCTTTGAGAATTGCGTTACCGAATTACAAGATGTCCCTTCAACACATCAACACTAATAGTACCCACCTAACGCAGACTCTGGACGTAGTATTTTATACAATACAAATATAAAAAAATACAACTTTCAGCCACTGTTAGATATATAGACAATAGAGATGATGCTTAGTTTTCTTTCCTTAAAGTACTTGTCGCCACGTACCTGGGAAAAGTGTGTGTGTTGAACAAGTGGAGGAGTGTATGACAACAGAGGAAGTCGAACAGCTTCTCTCACGACCTTCTACTTGTAGAGAGAAAAATATACTTGTCGTTAACTTTGATGAGCTCGAAAAAAAGCAGGGAAAAGAAAACAGTTCATAGATTTTATAGAAAGGAAATACCCTCAAACAAATGAACTCCAATTTTATGAAGTTGGAAGAGAGGTAGGACGTTTTTTTGTATTCTCGTATGAAGAACAGTTCTACCCTTGGCAAATTGTTTTCTTTGACAGTGATGAGGCTATAAC